AGCTTTCTTTTATTCTTAAAATTTAAGATTTTTTAAAAATTAGAAGATAACATGGAAAGTGCCCTTATTACAAGTTATCTTAAAGAGTAGATCAAGAATAAGCTTGGAAATAAATTTGGCGCTGCTCCGTTCAGTAGTTCGGGTAATACGGTACTTAACTTCAAAGTCCTTTTTTAAAACGTTTTGACCCACCCTGTAAATACGGTTAAAGATAATTACATTTTAATTGCACCAAAATAGTCGGGGTGATTAGACCTTTAAATTGATGTATCACACAACCCATGTTTACATTTGAAAATTTCTCAAAAAGCATCCCTACCCCCCAAATTGGGCCCTTTTGGGGCATTTTTCGAAATTGAAAATAATTTTATTGGATTTGGCATGTCCAAATTAGGGGGAAATGAGAACAAACAAGTGTAAAATGCCTCACCTTTACACACAACAGATATGGAAAGTTTTCAAATGAACACCCTGTATAACACGATGAATTTGTTTTCTAAATTCATATGTTTTTGCGGGGCATTGAGCCGCACAGGTTCACTAGTAACTATAGACTACGCTTATTTACATATTTGCTGCGACGTGTTATTTAAGTAATTTAATTATTTATTGTTTAAACGAACTCTACATTCTACTGTGTGTACAAAACATTCAGTTATTTACTCTATCAGTTCAAGGAATAATATATGAGTTAACCTAGCTTGCACGATAATTGAAAACAAAACAAAAAACTGTTCGGTCAATTTCCTCCTATATACATTTAATTGATGGAGATGGTTTTGACATACAAATTATATTGTTTGTATTACGAATTTACCCTAGAAGTCGTATGAATACATAGCTAAAAAGAACCTCAAAATAGGAGAACTGTATAAAATGTCCTTTTATGTTTAGCTTAAGTAGGTTTTAATAAACGTTAAGATGTCTAAAAGTGTGGTATTCACACTTTTAAAGTCTGATAAATGCATTATAGCATTATAGGCTACTTAAATAAGCTTAAATAAACACAGTATAAAAGAAAAATGTTTAAGTATCGTATCGTGATGAGAATGATTGTATTGTCAGATTATCGAATTTGCATGTGTATATTAGGGTCTCCCAACTACAAATTCCATATTCTGGGACAAGTAATATTACACAGTAAAGGAAACCTGAAATTATTTGTTGCGTTAAGACATAAGATGCATTAGTCTAACCAAGATGAGAGTATACTTCAAACATATAAAATAGAAAGTGTTTTGAAGAGTTTATTATACTTTCTCTAGTAGAAAAACACTGATATTTAATATTATTTTGGTATTTATTTTATTGGCTGGAGTTCATTACACTTATTTTGCAGTTTCAAGTAGCAAAAGCTTCCTTTAGCTATAAACCACACCACAGATGTATTAATTTACAAAATTGAATACTTTACTGTGCAGTGCAGGTAATATCGCGGCCGCTTGTGTCGGTAAAGCAGTCTGTAGTTTACTCTAAGTCCGTTAGGTGCGCCACTTGACAGTAGTACATTGTTGCATTTCGTAACAATTAAATAGCATTGTTAACCAACGATATAAACAACTCAAACGTGTATACTGTATTTAAATAAACTATAAACTGTTAAAACTATCCATATCATCAATATTGCTTTTAGATGTAGTCGTTATATTTGCTATCGTACACTGGTACACAAAAACTCGAACAGATGTTACTGTCAAATAGCTTGGTACTTTAGGCCATATTAAAAGTGTTGTTGAATTTTAATCACATTGTCAATCCTATCCTATTCTATAATATAAAACAAGCGCATGTACGGGCAAACTTTTTTTCTGTCCGAGGATTTTTTATTTTGGTTTCTTTAATATGGGGTATTTGGCGACGAGAAATCGATTCAATTGGAGTTGGTCACAAGGCTGGGAAAATCCAGTTTCCGTCCTACAGCCCTTGAAAGTGCCCATGTTATCGTCAATACCTTTTTGTAGCTGAAGTTAACAAAACAGCTGCTACAATTATTTTTACTGTCATCATTTTGATTTGCGTGTAAACAAAAATACGGTAACTGTATTCGTTAGATTGGACTAAACAAAAAGAATAGTTATATTCAGTTTGGCTTATATACATATTACTGTTATATGTTTTCAAGGTTAATTTACAAGAGTAATAATGAAACGCGGAAGACCTACGAAGCGAATACATAATCCGAAAGGGATAGAAGCTACAAACCATCGTCACTCGTCAGGAAATAAATTTCACTTCTTCGTCTACAACCCAGTTCCAACCAGCTTATACATCTCACCAAATGTCTTCGAAATAGGCCAAGACTTACATCAAAGAATAAAAGGAGAGAAATGATTAAAGATCTTAAGGCCGTGCAAAATAATTAATTAACAGCAGGCCGATTATCTTGAGCAGAGTGTCGACGAATCGCTGCTCGACGTTTGGAAGAACGTCAGCGCACTGAAATTCCTCAAACCTCTAAAGTCGCCATGTCAGCGGATTTTGGATATTCACGATTGGAACCGTTTGACGTGTCATGAATACACACGACGTGTGTCCGAACTGATCCGCGGTCAGAGGGTATTTCTTCAACATCAAAACTCCATTATATTCAAAACGTCAAAAAACTATGAGCTATCAGTTTGTTGAGGTGTGCCTAAGTCACGTTGGGTAGGATACTGCAAATAATCTAAATGCTAGGATCTATGAAACGGGTGTAATTAGACACACTGATATTATTTCATCGATTATTTTAATACGTCTCAATAATGTTCATTATCTGTTTTTTTTATCTTTACCAATGTACGATAAACACATATTTCATAGTGTTTATTTATTCTATGATTGTAGCTTTTGCGGGTTTAGCTGCCGAATACGGTGTGAAATTGTAAATGGCGAACGAGTCTTCAGGAATGGTTTAGGCACTGTGTTACAACAGCAGTAGGTTTTCAGCCCTTTGAAACTTCACAACGAATGAACGAACAGAGTTCCTTACTCAATTCCGCCGCTACAAAACGTCTATAGAATATTTATTCTGTCTACATTTAACCACCATGTGTTCAATTGATACAGAAAATGCATCCGCAAACGACACTCAGATTTGGCAGCTAGGAACCCCTGCATTGCCGCCTTTACCGGTAAATTGTAATAACGTTACTTACTCCTGAAAATAGATATTTACCGGACGAGTGTGGTTGTTCCCGTGCGAGACAAAGTCGAGTACGGGATTACCATACAAGTCCAGTAAACACATTTTGGACGAGTGACTACGATATTTTACGCCATACTACTAAATCCGTACAAATCACATCCTTATATATTATCACCGACTAAGGACTAACAATCACTAGTCATATCCTCTAAGAGAGGTTATGTTTTTGTTTATAAACTAACCACTCTCACCCATTGCCAAATACAGTTTTGGGGAACGGCAAGCAAATCAGCAATTATTCAAAGATTTCAGTCAAAGGCGCTGCGAAGAATGTTGATGCTCCGTGGTTTGTCTCGAATCAAACAATCCATGAAGATTTAAAAATACCTACAGTGATTGAAGAAATAACGAGAATTAGCAAGAAATATCAAGAAAAACTCGAAACCCACCAGAACAATTTAGCCGTTAACTTGCTGGACAATAGTGAATTTCCCAACAGACTAAAAATTGTGAAAGTTCTTGAACTCCCGTACCGATTTGCATAGTTTTAGTTACATGATATGACTATTTATTTTTCCAAGATCTTTCACTGGGGAGATTCTTGGTCAAGTCATTTACTTATATTATGCCTTTTACTAATTGTTCACAGTTGTACTGAACAGATTGTAAAATAAAATAAAGTTAAAAAAAAATTGCCAAATACAGTATAATCAGCTGGTTGGTGTCCGGTAAACTCTACAGTACAGTAGTAATGAAACTCCATTTGATTAAGCTGACGGCAAACAGCTGTTTTCTGGACTAAATCATTGTGGGGGAAGTTCGTCAAAAAAGCGTAGTGTGACGTCAAACATTTAACTAAATCTCCCCCTATTTCGCTCGCACCTAGTAAAATCAGCTGATCGATTGTATGTTTCGTGTTCCCTAATCTAGTGTGTACATCGATTTACTTTTCGTTATTTCTTTTGTGTTACGATTTCCAGCGAGTATAAGATGACTATCATATATCGTACATGCTTGGGCCGGCAAAACTTCGGAACCACAACATAGTTGCAAAGTGCAAAACAATACGACTTGTTTATGGTGTTGGTAGTTGCAAGATTGATGTTTTTCATTGGAAATCTTCTTGCAGCTATTACAGAAAAAACACATAAGAAACAAAAATATTGAAGCACAATTTATTTAATTTTAATTATGATTGCAGTTTTAAACTGAATCTGTGGCAAACTTGTGCCAATGGTATTTCCTCCTTTTTACTAAACCATTATCTTATTGTTTGGATAAACAAAATAGGTTAAATCAATACTGGTCTTCCACATTTTATCTCTCTGGGCTATTTTCGTAAGTCAACAACTAAGCCGAGATATCTCTCACCTACCTAGGCATTGATTCCATCGTTGCCTTGACAACGCCACTGCAGGCGTCAACCTATAACTCATATTCTCACCTCCAACCTACAGCCAAACTCTAGTTTTGCGAGTTGAAAATAGTTGTTGTAAGGGTGGAAAGGGAGCATATTCAGTTTTAAAAGTGTATGACAGCTACTAGAGGGTGTGTAAATCAATATTGTTGTAATTAGGGATTTATTTTACTGAAGAAAACGTCAAAGATATTGCAAGGAAAGTTGAGTGCGGAGTGAACTGGATATAAACGGGTAGTGTTCTATTTTAGATGCACACAATTATATAGTGGTTCTGCTGCACTATTAATTAATACATATAATAGCTTAATAATAGATGTGAATTGCAATAAATCTACATTTTGTTTGCCATACTATATAGCACTTTGAAACACAGAAAATCACTAACACTTAAAATTCACTAGTTCGACGATCATAAAGTTGAAATTTATAGCATAAGTTAGTTACAACTACTACTCAATCATCATTATACACCTAGGTACTTGCAATACTATCAAAGTACCTAAAATACTAATACACAAACACATAATCATAAATCTTTTTGGTGTCTTTCTCACAAAAAAATAGAAGAAAAATCAGTTAGAGTTTACACTGTAAACAAGTTTAAAATCAAACAACCATGGGAGATATGTCAGGAGATATCCAAATCTCATCTGGAGGCCACACCTCGGTGGACATCCTCAAGATCTCCGCCAACACCGAGTACCTTCACAGCTTCCTCCGGGTGGACCATGGAGAAGAGACTGGATCAGAGGCCGGTGACGCAAACAAGGGGAAGAAACCACTCAAGAAGAAACCAACCGAGGGAGAAGTCAGGACTGAGAGAAGACGAGAGAGAGATCGACCGAGAAGTCCGAGCACGCCTCCTCCAGCAGGACCCACCAGCTTCCAGCAGATCAAACGTGAGATCATCGCAAAGGCAAAGGCGGAGCGCCAAAAACTCTTGAAGGCAGGGAAGAGGTCAAAGAAAGATAGAGTGAGGATGGAGGAGATATACACCGATAAGGATAGAGCTGCAGCGGTCAACATGGGCAGTCGGGATATCAAACATTCGCTGAAGATGAAGAGACGTCAGGATAGGAGTAAGGCATTGCAGATACCTGAGGAGGCTGAGCCGAGTACACTACTTGCTCTGGGTAGTCATGAGTTGAGGTCTGGAGACGTCGACATCGCCATCGGGTTTGTCAACAAGGTGAGATAAATGTAAAGGTAGGTTAAGGTTTATCCATTAAGGTGAGTTTTAATACTTTGCAAACAAATAGAGGATTGATTTTTTGTTACTGAAGTAAACATCTTGTATTGACCAGCTGTTGAACTGTTTGAATCTGGTTGTATTGACCAGATTCATAGTATCAACAGCAGATTGTTGAAGTCAATTTTAATGATAGGCCTACAGTATTTGTAAAATACAGAAACTGTGTAACTAATCCAAACTAAAAGGAACAACTCTCATTGTTACAGTATGTTTTATGTCGCATCATCTATCATAGCGATAAGAACTGAGGAAGAAAATATAATACCGACAGAGTAAAACGCTCTGACAGCGGCTCATTCAATTACGTACTTTTTCAATAAGAACAACTACCTACAACTCTAAACTACATATGGTCCATGGATAGAAGTTATGTCTACTTGAATATCATGTATTCAGTGATAGAACATAGTTGAATGAGCCACTTGTAGAGCGTGTTACTATCAGTATTATATTTTCTCCCTTAATATTTGATTTGTAGGCTATACTATTCTGGTTCATGTGACATATATAGCAGATGCAATACCTTAATAAATTGTCCTTTCAGTTTGGCTTTGTCAAACAGTTAACAAATTCAGCTAAACTCAGTAATAGACATATCTCTGTTTATGACTCGATTCAACTACATTGATTTTTGATCTGGCTACAACCTTTTAAAACCAATTCAAACCATTTCAAAATTTAAAAATGATTTCAAACAATACCTTTCACAGAAAAATTATTATTCTATTTCCGATTATTTAAATTATAAGTAAAATGTATTTTATTTTAAGCTATGTATATTTTAGTTTTTATTTGTAGTGTTTTTTATCCCTGACAATATCACCTGTTTCACCAGCTAACGCTGGATTTGTGAAATGTTTTGTGATAATAAAGTAATATTTCATTTAATTCCACAACCATATCATGGTAATAATGGGCTGTCTACCTGTGAATCTTCAAAGGTAGTATCAAGCCAATTCTATACAAACCTGAAAAATCTGCTATCCGCCTGTTACTTTTCAGGAATCAATAGTTTATTCCAGGAAGACATTTTTTTACAATGCCAGTGGAGTCAAAGTTGGCTTGCAGAGCAGTTGTTATATCGCTATTGATATGTTTGTTCCATGTTTTGTGTGTATGTTGATATGATTTGTATGTTCTAGGCCCTTGAGCTATGTTCCACTGATAAGAATGCCCTTGTTGCCCGGAGCAAGTGCTATCTTCTCCTGGGAGAACCAAACTTGGCCCTCAAAGATGCGGAGACTGCGCTCGCCAGTGATAAGAGCTTCGTTAAGGGTTTGTAATATTTTATAAAATATTACTGTAATAATGGAAAATGGGATGGCTAATAGACAAAGGCTGTGACTTAACATGTGATAGAGTCACCTCACGTAAGCTTCCGCTTTTGCCTAACCTACCTTAGGAAAATTATTGCTTATACGCATCTCATTCAAAATTCGTTTGACAGGAATTCTTCAAAAGGCTGAAGCCCTCTACCACTTGGGTGACTTTGAGCACGCCCTCATGTACTACCACAGAGGTCTCCGTATCCGACCGGAAATGCAGGAGTTTAGACTCGGAGTGCAGAAGTCACAGGAAGCCATCGAGAACACCATTGGAAGTAAGAGCTGATAATTAGGTAGATAACAGAATGTTCAAATAGTTGTGTCCCTCTGGGAGTGAGCTGGTCTGGTGGTAGAGTGCAGGATCTGGATCAATCACTAATGGATTTTAACTACAGTAAGTAATAATGCTGCAACCCTCGAGGACTAGCCTGAAGTAATGTGCCCAACATTATTGTCTGAGCTTAAATGCATTGTTAGCTTAGTATAGTTATTGGGAATTTATTGTTAAAAAAGACTCAATGCTGTTTTCTCTGAAACACAACCCATATTTAAGATTTATTGCAATTAATTAAAAAAATCTCGTATGTATTGTATTACTCAACTTCAAATTTTTCTACTGACTTAAAAAAATTACTTTTTTATAAGTACTATTCTACAGTAGTCTTCATAATATTTACGTTTACGAAAAGACAATGTTGAGCTTATTTAAAATACATTTTCTTACAAAACTAAATCGGTGCAGACAACAATGAACAATGAATATCAGCTGATCTGAAATGGAGTTTAGGAAGCGGTGCTGCCAGCTTATGAGATTTTTTTGTCCCAAACAATTGGATTTTATAAAAAAAACTCTCTGTTAAAGTGATTCTTTACTGTTACAGATAAGGTAGGGTCTAAGTTGACTTTACCACCTTACCTGGAGCAGTCCCGTCCCAACAGCAAAGTGTCGAGCGCAGGACCAGGCGGTAGACCGAGTGTTGCGAGTTCCGAGCGTGGTAAGAGCGCCATCTGTGTTGACGAGCTTATCAAAAACACTGCCAGCAGCAAGAAAGCGGAAAAAATGCTACTGGGTGAACTCAACGTGGATAAAGAATACTTGGAGGAACTCCTTAAACACCCAGGTACAGAACTTATTTTTTTAGAATTAAATTTTTCCTGAAAATGTACTGTAATTTAAGCATAAGTTTGATGAGAAAAGAAAATACCTCTTGAGCTTACCCTTTCATTGTGAGCCGTGACTACGTTCCACCGTCGAATGTTACAACTCATTTTGTGTTTCAAGTGTTACAAATGAGATTTTGTATAGTACGTGTTTTGCCAGTATCAATGTTCTGACGTCCCTCGTCAACTGTTTGCTACACAGATCTTTTTCCTACCTGTAAATGTGCAATTTCATAGGTTCTACAGCGTCACTCCTGTCAACATCTATATCATTTGGCATCCTTTTTAGTTTTCACTATTAATGCTTTTTATGTGGGTTTTCCGTCGTCTCGTGTGCCCTAATTTTTTTTTCATGGAGTAATTAAATTCCCCGTCAGTGCCTGATGAAATGAAATGAATTTACCACCCTGGCTACTTTTGGATCTGCCTGCGTCTTCAACCACTTGGTTACCTCTTGTAGCTGTGCGTCGTCATCAAAACGCTGCATAACCGGCCACTTCTTCATTGCTGGGAATAAGTGAAAGTCACACGGTGCCAGGTCGGGACTGTACGGGGGATGGGGAAACAACTCGCACCTAAAAGATTCAAGAACTTCGCAAGTGACATTTGCCGTGTGGGGCCGGGCGTTGTCGTGAATCAACAGGATCTTTGAGCTTAAATTTCCCCTGCGCTTGTTTTGTATCGCTCTTCTAAGGTTTTGCAATACCTTTGACAGTTTATTGTAGTGCCTCTTTCCAGGAAGTCCACAAAAATTACATCTACCCTATCCCAAAAAACAGTCGCCATCACTTTCCTAGCCGACGTCGTTTGCATGCATTTCTTGGGTTGGGGGGAATTTCTGTGCCCCCACTGCATTGACTGTAATTTTGTCTCGCAGTTCACATGTTTGACCCATGTTTCGTCACCAGTAACGATGCGATCGAGTAGAGAGTCACCATCTTTATCGTAAGCGTCCAGAAACGGTAGTGCTGCAGTCATACACTGATTTTTGTGACTTTCTTAAACTTTTTCAACAAGTTCAGGAGTCACAATGCTGGGTCTTCCACTTCACTCTTCGTCGTGAACGTTTGTTCAGCCATTTTTAAGTTTTATGACCCACTGATGCACTCCACCTTCAGTAATCAGGGTTTCCCCATAAACTTCACAAAATTGCCCATAGATTTCTAACGGTTTGCAGTTTTTTGCAGTCAAAAACCTTATAACTACATGCACTTCACAGTTCGCAGCATTTTCAATTAACACAAACATTTTAAACTGTACACCAGAAACCTCTCACTAGCACGGATAGATGCCAACTGAGCTGCATAACGAACTGACACCAAGATAGCCGCACTATCCTCACCCTTTGGGGATACAGACAAAAACGTAATCTACTTTCTGGATAGCCCTCGTATTATTGTTGATAATCTATTAATTGTTTTTTTTTTATCATTGCAGCTTGTTCCTCTCAAACGCCGAATTGTTCTTGAACCTTTCCCCCACGGTTTTTCTTGCTGTTAGGTAGAGCTGCGAGCCGCTCCTTGTCCCTGCACATGGGATCACGCTTCCCAGTTCGTTTGCCTGGGTGCAGGTGCGAGGGTGTGGTTCAATTTTGATGTTTTAAATACAAGAAAATATCAATAGTGATTATAAAAAATTGTGGGTGACATTGTCAATTTCTTTTTATACTTTTATTGTTTGCAATCTTAAAAAAGGACAAAAGTAAAATTATGTTTTACATTTTTTTTCAAACATAAAATTACCTATCAGCTCTCCGTTATAGTTGTACTGCACATGTCATTGAGAAAAGAGTATCTAGAGTCAAGGCATCACACTAATTACTTTCATGTTGCCAGATATCAAATGTTTACACAAAGAGATGGCCAACAACCCAATACAGAAGTACGCTGAGGAGGGAGTAGCGTTCATCAAAAACCGCCAAGAGTTTTGGCGGCAACAACGATGCGACAACTCTGGTGGAGCAACCAAGCGAAAACGTCCTTCAAAGAAACAACCAAGCACAAACAAACAATCTTAATTCTGATGTAAACCTTGTATTGTCCATTAGTTCATAGCTAACATAGTAAGTAGCATCAATGATGATTGAATATCATTAAAATAGGAAAAAGTAGTAAGTTAAGTACTGTTCTGAAACCATTTTGGTCAAAATTCGGTTTAAGTTTAAATAATAAGTAGTTATAAAACATGTTTTGCTTGGTGTAATAATTGCTCAATTTTAATTAAAGATTATATTACACAAGTAGACTGATGTGTTTTTTTTTTTTTTAATCAACCTCTAAGAATAAATATACATCAACTATGAAGTGTGACAGTAATACAGCACAACTCTGATTTCTAAAACAGAGCACAACAAAATTTTAACATGTAAGGCCCCGTCATAGCTGGACGGCAAGAGCGACGCGACTGTTGGCCACTGCTGTCGGCGGCAAAATGTGGGTCCACATTTCCAGGATTATGATCAGATGGAGTCGAGGACATCAGCTTTGTCCATTGGTTTTTTGTTTGAATTAAAAAACATATTATCATAACACATTGTTGAATTTGGTTGTGCTTATACTGACGTGAAATTGTATTTGATATTTTACTAGTTAATTATTGTTTAATACCTTAATCAACATTAAGACTAATTTATATGTATAACAAAAATATTTCAGTATTTGGACTTAAATAGTTATTTTTGTAACTAGTGGGAAAGGCAGTTTTCACTCCCGTTACACATTATATTTTTTCCTACAGTTACTATAAAGCATATGAATGATTAGTATTTAAAACACTGTACTATACGTTTTTAGATTAGGCTAAATCCAAACATTGAATGCAACATCGGAAACACTGCACCAGCTGATCGTAGTCGTAGTATCAGTAGGTATAGTAAAGTGTTACTGACCTATTTCCAAGCGTACACGGATTACGTGCATAATAAAAGCACACTGTTTTGTGTTGTTTGGTTGCATTACTGGTGTGCGACAAAGTAAAGTAAAAAGTCCAAAATAAGTAAAAGTATCAATTAGCAGCTTTCTGTACTATATCATTGCAAGAAAGCCCACTTCATCGGGTGACTGTAGGAAAATATAGTTATCGTTGCATTGTCTGAATATGCATAATTCTTTCTTCAAACATCTGGTAAGCCTTATACATTGCTGGTGAGACAAGCAAAGCCTGCACTATCTCAATACTGTTGCAGTCACTAGCTTATCCGTTGACCAAAACGTTGGCTTACTCTCTTTAGAACACCTTGCAGACCAGTATGTATATAGAGACAAGTAACACGACTGGGGCTTTAATAAAATACCCCCGCCGCAGCAAACCTGCAGACTAAGCGAATTTCCATTTGACTGATTGGATTTACACTGAAATGTCTACTTAAAAATATAACATTTATTCTTGATTTAAATAGAATTAGTTTAACAAGTACTTAGGTTTGCTGCATCAGGGAGGGTAAAACTGTTTTTTTTGTAAAATGTGAATAGTTAGTAAGAAATAAAAACATTTTCCAAATTTGATCAAAATATGTTCACAAACAAGCAAACTACAACAGTTTACTTATTCTCCATAAGAATAACATGGGAATTTTAAATTTACAATTTTTTGGAATTTTCTCCGTAACTATTAGGCGCATAATAACGCTTCAATATACTACATTATTTGTTTTTTTAAGCTCTACAAAATGGTTTGTAAAGAAATTGCTAAATTTTATGTTTTTTGGGTCAAAAATGGGAAAAACCTATTTTTACCCCATAAAACCCCCCGTAAACCCCCGTTCCCATGGTCCGATCATGCTGGATCGCGAACTCATTCGAATAAACGTACGTTTACACGTTTGTACCGAATTTCATCAAAATCGGATCATTTTTGCTCGAGTTATCGTGCTGACGGACACACACATATATATATATACTAGCTGACCCGGCGAACTTCGTATCGCCTAAGTTATAGGTTTCCCCTAAGACAGACCGATGGAAAGAAAGTACCGTTACGTTTAATTTTCAAGATGATCTCGTTCGCATCGCTCAATCACGTCCTGGTTGAAGTTCGTTCGCTACGCTCACTCACCTTTGGGTTGGAGCTCGTTCGCTACGCTCACTCACCTTTAGGTTGGAGCTCGTTCGCTGCGCTCACTTGCCTTCAGGTTAGCTCGTTCGCTACGCTAACTCGCCTCCAGGTTGAAGTTCGTTCGCTACGCTCACTCACCTTTGGGTTGGAGCTCGTTCGCTACGCTCACTCACCTTTAAGTTGGAGCTCGTTCGCTGCGCTCACTTGCCTTCAGGTTAGCTCGTTCGCTACGCTAACTCGCCTCCAGGTTGAAGTTTGTTCGCTACGCTCACTCACCTTTTGGTTGCAAATTAGCTGTTGTCATAAATGTAAAAGAAATAATAGTGCTGCACCCTGTTGGCAATCCTTGTAACTTTAATGCTATTGAACATCGTAGAACAGAACCAACTTGTTTAATTGAAACAGCTGTTAAGATTCATTAATTCCATTTCTCATAAGGTTAACATGGGAAACTCCAGAGCCACTGGGGCGGAGCCCTTTTAAGAATTTCGAAACGGGAAATAGTTTACTTTCTATTCGCATACCTACAGAATTTACACACCAAATTTCATAACGATCGGTGAAGTCGTTCCGGAGGAGTTTGCAGACAAACACTGTGACACGAGAATTTTATATATTAGATATATATATATGAATTTGAACGGATGGTGTTTTTGGCCTCTAGGGACCTCAAAACGAAAAAAAAAAATTGGTCCCGCATCCAGGTCTTACCATGAGTACTACGGTAATAGCTTATTCCCTATATGGGAAATTCGCTAAAAAAAGAATACAGCAGTTGAATCATTCCAGATTGCAGCCAATTTGCTATAGGCATATCACTGAGATTTATAAAACAATATAAATAAACTAAGAGCAAACTAAACAGAGAAAAAAGGTAAGTAAAAGGTAAAAGGTAAGTTGATTCCAATTTGATTAAAATATATATTTCTCATGAAATATGACTTAATAGATACTGTATAGTCAATCAATTCACAACGACCTACTGTGCCTAGTGGAAAAATATACATAACATTTTCATTGAAAGAAATACCGTAAACATTATAAAAATGTATTTAATACAAATAAAGTGTTAATTACACAGATGAATTTTTAATTATATTATAAAAACATGATGACGAGTCTTCAGTTCGCACATGCACATATTTACAAATATTACAAACAACAAAAACCTTATTCTTAATTGATAACTGTAACAAAATGATCGTTCTAATAATTTATAAATACTTAATAAATAACATTGATCAAAAAACAATTTATAAAACAACGTCTGGTAAAAATGCCATGCTGAACAGAAACAGTATATTGGTTTCATGATAAAATTGCCATGCATCGATGTAAATTACAAAGTGGTATAAGCGTCTGATAAAAAAATGAACACAATATATTACAAGTTTGTACAAGGGGCAGAAGGAACTAAGTCTAGTATTGAAGGTCAATCGTCATCGGGTCGTGAATACGTTGTCCCGAACTTAGACATGTACTTCTTGATGAAGTCTCTAGCTTTGTGTTTAACATTATCATTACATTCCAACTCGTCTACGCTGCGACAGTGTTTCAGCTCTTTGAGCATCACAAAATGTGTCAGCTGAAACAAAACAAAAACCATGTAGCGCTTGGCTGGACAGTCCAGTGTGTTCAGCAAGAAAATAAAATTCAAGCACAACTACTAGTTTTCCATCAACACTTCCTGTTACAAATATAACTAACTCATGACTTCCATTAACCTTTTCAGACTTCAATGCAAAATAACCCGGTTCAATACCCAGCATCTGCATAGAAGAAGTCCTGGGAGAAAGCTGATCTAGTAGTAGAATGAAAGACTTCGGTCCCCGAGGTCCTGTGTTCAAATCCCACCAATCACCAATGAATTTTATCTAAGTGATAATGCTGTGATTCACTAGTCCTAGCCTGAACGTAAAATAGTTGCAGGCTATAATCTAGCATCCTAGGATTGGCGTTCCTGAGATTGGTAGTAAAAAAGGCTAATAAAGTAGAAAAGAATAATTGTTTTAGGAGTTGGGTGATACTTCCCTGAACATAATAAATATTTTCTAATACTTTATTCAAAGTACAACTGAACTGCAGTAACAGTAAAACTTTAGACCTTTCACTCGGACTAACCTTCCTGGCCAGGTGTTTAAAGTCCTCCGTGTTGGATATTTTACCCATCTTGCAGTCAGGCTTCCTGTATGCATTGAGATAATGCACAATCACTCCGGCCATATTCAGTCTGAATGCATCTTTGATCTTCCTCCCCGGCTCACTGGAAGTGTCCGCTTCACACTTACTAGTTCCACTTCGGTTTTTAGATTTGTTCTTTTGCTTTTGACGTAGTTTCTCTTTGGCTTTTTGACGGCGTAACTTTTCCTTAAGTTCACGGATTTTCTTCTTATCAATTTTGTCGGGGATTTCATCAGCAGTTCTTGGCTGTGAACAGAAAAATATAAATGTGATATTTTGTAAAGATTGACTCTATTTTATTGCAATTGCTGGCAGTCAACATTACTTTTTGGAGGGAAAAGAGGGCCATAGCGATATTGAAAGGAGTAAAGCTACTAGGCTATATATCTTTTTTTTACCTGTAATGAGAGAAAAAACAACTTTTACCCAAGAAAACCCCATTCCCACGGTCTGATCATGCTGGTTCTTGAACTTTTTTGAATAAACGTTAGTTTACATACATGGACCAAATTTCACTGAAATCTGATGATTTTTTAGTTATCCTGCTAACGGACACACACCAACACGCACACATATACAGGGTGACAATTAAGTCTGGAACATCTTTTTCAATTTTTAAACCACAAAAGAAAAAAATACCAAAGTTCAAACGTGCTTACTGGTGATAGCACAAACATCTGCCTAATTACCGACCGCCTGACCCCTTTGAGGGACGGTCCATACAAGGAGTCAGACAAAATTTTTAAATAGCAGCATAGGTTGATTATGGTACGGTATCAAATTAAAGGTCTCCTTTAGTAGAATACAATGACACAAATCCAACTCAAATGGACAACCAAGTAAAAAATGGCAGCCGATCAAATATTTCTTTAATCTGCCCTTTTGAATCTTTGAACGGCTGCCAATCAACGGCTGCTCATCATTTCGAATTAGTTTTTTAAGCCGAACTCAATTCCATGGTCCGTTTTTCATTTTCATATTTTTATTTGGAAATATTGACATTTTTAA